TTGTAGACGGCATCAAGCGCGTCGGCAGCGGCTTCGCCATCCAGGTGCGCGCGCGCGTGTGCGTGTGTGTGTGTGTGCGCGTGTGTTCGTGCATTTTTGTTCGTTCGTGTGGGTTTGTGTAGGAGAGAGAGGGAGTCTGCGTGTGCATGTGTGTGTGTGTGTACGTGTGTGTGTGTGTGTGTGTGTATAAATGTGAGTGTGTGTGTGTGTGTGTTGGAAGAGGACAAAGACGAGCCGGTTTCGGGGCTCCCAGTGGTTTTTTTGAGGTGGCAGGAGTAGCCCATTCCTGCTAGCGGCGAAAAGGGCGCGACCTGCGCCACATGCGGCCAAAGCCCGGGCGGGGCTCTCGCATCCCTGCAGGGCCGCGCACTATGCTGGCGCCCCCGCCCCTGCTCATCACCCATGGCTCGACTCGGGGAGCCCTGCACTCTGCACCCTCAACCCTGCACCCTCGAAATCCGCACCCTGCACCCGGAACCCCAGACCCTGCGCCATAGACCCTGCAGCCCAACCCCTGAAGCTTGAACCCTGCACCCTCAACCCCCCTCCAGGGCAACATGGACCCCGGGGTGCTGTTCGGCAGCAAGGACGTGATCGAGTCGCGCGTCCTCGACACCATCCGCCGCGCCAAGTCGCAGGGCGTGCGCCACATCATGAACCTCGGCCACGGCGTGCTGCCCGGCACGCCCGAGGAGAACGTGGCGCACTTCTTCGAGGTGGCCCGCACCGCGCACGAGCGCCTGTGATTTGGGCCCGAGGGCGCGCCGGGGGCCGGCCGGCTCGCGGGCGGGACGTCTCTTATTTTTCCGTCGTTGTTTTTTCCGTTTGTGAGTGCTTATTTTGAAGATGTGGCGTGGCGCGCGCGCCGGGTGGGGTGGCGGCTCGCGCGCCGGACTTGAGAGTCGTGAGAGAGAGCAGGTATGGTTCTTTTTTCCCTCTCCTCCTTTGCCTGCAACCAGTATGGGGGCTCCCGCTGTAAAAGCAGAGGATATCGCCAACGGCGTGGTGCGTGCCCATACCACCTGTGTGAGTTGCCAGGCAGCTGTGGTTGGAAGGCGGCGCTTGGGCACCAGGGGCGAGCGCTGGACTGCCGTCGTGGTTGGGGCGGGCCAGGGGGGAGCTGCGGTAGCTGTGTGTCATCGATGAGTCGAGGTGTGCGCGCCCTATGTCAACGGTGTCGACGCAGCTCATCGTAGCCTATGGCCTGAGGTCATATGGAGGGGTGTGAATTGGTTAATGCTGTGTGTCCCACAATGGGCTGCTGCCCTTCCCTCTCCCAAGGCACCAAACAACCTAAGCAAGGGGACTGCAGGCAGCTGTTGCCAAGGTCTTGATCCGCAACGTTCACAGACCTAAAAATTAGCAATTTAGGGCAGGTTTGAGAATCATTTGCACCGTAACACGAGTTTCGATTGTCCGACCACCCTTCCCGCGGCCTGCCGCAGTGCCGACAGGAAGGACTCGCAGCCATCACATGGCTACAGATCACAATTCCAGATAGTAGACCGTCCGATCGTTCAAATATGCCACGTACGTAGGTGATAGTGACAGCGCATTGAGGATGGAAGGGGTTGATGATGCAGCATGGTCCGGCCCGGACGACTGGCAGAGGGGCTTTGTTCGCGGATCCACGGACGGCTCAATGTACTCCGAGCTGGCGAGTGCCAGCGCCACGGGGGCGGTGCGTTCCCCCGGCTTGGCGCCGACTGCTGCTGCGGTGCTCCCCACCGCCTGGCCCAGCGGCGCCGGCGCCACAGCACAGCTTCATCCTACTGCGGGGGACCTGCAGATGCGCTTGATGCTGCAGCAGCAGGCAGCGCTGCAGGAGACGCAGCGGCAACAGTACCAACAATTGCTGCTTCTGCAGCAGCAGCAGAAGCAGCTGGGGAACCTCCTTCCGCAGCAGGACGAGCAGCAGCTGCACCAGCAACTGCAGCAGGTGCAGCACGAGCAGCAGAGCCGGCACGACCAGCAGCGGCAATTGCAGCAGCAGCAATTGCAGCAGCAGCAGCAGCAGCAGCAGCAGCAACAGCAGCAGCAGCAGCAGTTGCATCAACAGCAACTGCAACAGCAGCTCGTGCAGCAGGCATTACACCAGCAGCATCAGGCGCAGCAGCAGCAGCAGCAGCAGCAGCAGCAGCAGCAGCAGCAGGCGCAGCCTTCGCTGCTGCCGCGGCAACATCAGTATCAACCGCATCTGCAGCCCGCCCGTCCCGCAAGCCGCAGCGGCACAGGCGTGCCTTTCCCTGCCGTCGGCGCAGGCGCAGGCGTGGCCGTTCCTGAGGCGACGGCGGGCGCGGCGCAGCGGCGTGCGCTGGCCGCGTCTGCGGCCGCTGCGGCGGCGGCGGCGCCACAGCAGCAGCAGCAACATCAGCAGCAGGAGGATGACGATTACAGCGGCCTGACTGTAATGCAGAAATATCACCTCAAGCGCAAGCAGCACGTGCAGCGGATGGAGCAGGACCTCGCTGAGAAGGTGGGGCGAAGCTGCTACAAGAGCGGCTGGCCGGAGGGACGGGGCGGGGTTTTTGTGAGGTTCTTGCGTAAGTTTGAAGGCGCAGGCGTGGCACATGCGTGCATGCGCTGCCTGTGTTGCGCTGGCGCAACCGCAGGCATGCAAAGATCGTGTCGCATGCCCATATGCGCATGACTTTAATTGGGGCAATCAAAATGATCGCCCCATTAACAGACATGCGCATATGGGCATGCAACCACACATGCATGCACATGCATGCACATGCACACGCATGCGACACGCATGCGGACACGCATGCCGACACGAATGCGCACATGTCCCACGCTTGACCCACGCAAACACCCATGCCCACACGCATGCGCGAACATCCTGCCCCCGCAGCTGTCAGAGCTGGCCGTGCTGCAGCGCGAAAACGACAATCTGAGGAAGCGGGCAGAGGTGCTGGAGAATATGCTGGTGGACGTGGACAAGCAGGTGCGCAATCATAGAAAGCAACGCCCTTTTCCATGCGTGTTCGCTCGCCACCCCTGCTGTCGGCCGTGAACTTTGCGGCCGCCCGAGGCGTGGAACCTGCCGGGGGGCGGTGCACGGCGGGGATGTTGAGGTGGTTTTCGGCCGTGGGGCGAGCTGGGGTGTGGCGCTGATCTGGTGGGAGTAGGGCGGGGCTCTGAGCGTTCAGCGCGGCAAGGCACAAGAGGCAAAGAGAACGAGCTTGCGTGTGGGGGATGTTCGTTGGCGCCTGTGCGACTCGATTGAGTTTCAGTGTGGTGACGAGTGTGCAAGTGCAAGGGTCTGTTGGGATCGTCTCGGGGGCAGCTGATTCCCTCAGCCTCTCGCCGCCTACTTCATGCGCCGCAACCGCTGGCTGATATCCGCAACACACCTGTACGCGCTTCCACCCTCCCCCCTTGCAGCTGGTGCTCATGTCGGAAGTCGATCAGCCAGAACCGTCGGACTGGCTGACCCTGATGAAGCTGACTCACACAGAGGTGCGGCCTTCGCTGCCCGTGACGCCCCTCGCGGCCTTGTGACGGAACGCGTCCCGCCGGCGGCTCGATGTTGGCGGCGGGGAGTTGGGTTGCAAACATTGCTGCCGGCGGCGCTGTGACACTGCTCTTCTTGGTGCCCCTGGAAGTTCTAGGGTCTTTCGTACGGTTGGAACCCGACAATCGCTCATCCTCTGCCCGCAACTGGCTGCACGCTGCTGCACACCGTACTGTCGTCCCCGGTCCGCAACTAACTGCCCCCGGCTCCGCGCACCCCGCCGCGCACCCTGCAGCACCGCGCCGCGCCGCGCTGGCTGCACCGCTTGCTGGAGCGTGCCGCGACCGCTGACATAAGCGGCCTGACCGCCGCAGAGGCGCGCCGCCGCTGGCTGGAGTTTGCGTCGGCGCTGCAGCCGCTGGTCGCGTCGGCCGAGGCGGCGCAGGAGGCGGCGGCGCTAGCGGCCCACGCGGCGCGCGCGAGCGCGAGCGGCGCCGGCGCTGCGGACGAGGCGAGCAGCGGGCGCCGCGCGGCGCCCGGCGC